AAAAAGTCAAAACCTTCTTTCAGGCGAAAAACAAAAACGGAAAACAAAATACCCCAGTGTTTCCCAGATGGAAAATACTAGTAAGGAAAACATCAACGGAAACAATATACCATCTCAAATGAAACATTTCTCTACTTCCCTTAAAAAGCTGAACTTTCTGTAACAGTTAGATAATGCCCTTAATAATATTAGTGGGTAATATAGTGTACGTTACTATTTTTTTGTGCATAATTTTTTTTATTATTTTTTCTCACTAGCAAATGCCAACACCTCCAATACTCTATACTTCTTTTTACTCTATTAATGCTCAAAATTTTTTTAAAACTACAAGTCAAATCTTACTCCAAATTAATAATATTCATTATTCTTACCTGTCCATTTAATTTTGTTTATCTACTTTTTTTTTAGTCACTTTTCATTGGTATGCAATTAGTGTATATTCCAATTATTTTTTTTGCAAGTCCAAAACTATCTTTTGTAGCTATACCAATACCTCATTTTTTTTCCTTTATTGTGCAATAATGCTCAATTTATTTAATTTACAAATCAGATCTTACTCCAAAAACCAATATTTTTTTTAAGTGCCCCACCTGTCCATTTAACTTTGTTTCCATTATTTTAATTTTAGTCCCTTATATTTTTTCCCCTTTTATTTTAGCTTTATATAACTACCCGTTTAATATTCAAATTGTTAAAATAATAAAGTGCTTTTCAGGGGCTAAAGTAGAATAATTCACAATTTGCCTTTATATTCCAAAGCTCATTATTTGTTTCCCACATTATTGTTCCCCCAAAACTTATATTCCCCTTTTATTTATTTTTTTTATACTAAAATTTTCTAACTTTAAAAATTCCCTTTATAGTATACCTACTATCTTTTCCCAAGCTCCATTATTTGATCATCACTATATTTGATTAGTCCCTTTTATATTTTTCCCCCTTTTATTTTACTTAAAAAAAAAAAAAAAAAAAAAAAAAAAAATCCCTTTAGCTCATTATTTACATTTTTTTAAAATAATTCAGGTGCTATTTTTTAGTTTAAAGGGCATTTATTTGTTTTATATTTATTCTAACTTGATTCACTAAAATCTTATGATTCAAGCATTGATCCTGTCCCAAACTCTTTTTTAAATGACTTAATGAATCAAACTTTACTGAATTATACATGCAGAACAATCAAAGGCACTTTCAGTCCCAACAACAACAAAACCCTTTCTTTAACTACAATATCGATCTTTAAGCAAGCATTACGATGCCCTCATAGCATTACAAATTTCCTTACAGCCAAATAGTCCCTTTACAAACTGAAACCTGCTAAAGCCTGATGACAGGTGTCTTGCCTTTCCCTGGTTACCGCCTACACAATGTAGCCAGACCAACAAGGGGGGGGCACAGCCATTTACTCTCAGACCAACTGAATGATCACTAATACTTGCACAAGGGATGAACATGGGGAATATATAATACCCAAATTCAATCCAAATCCCTACAAAAACCTCTCACATGAAAAAATCTACAGAGTTCCACAGTCAAACATTACCCAATTTATTTAAAAACCGGAATTATGATAATGATGAAAGGTGAAAAAAGATCACTTACTACTCTCGGGTGACTCAATATAAACCCCTCAAGACCAGGACCCACAGTTACTGAATTCAAAAAACAATGATAACTTTTGTTGCTCCAACAGTAAAAAACCTACAAGGTTACAGAGATGTGTTTTCCCCACTTGCCAAATTGGACCAAAACCTTCCCCCTTTTAAAAAAGGCATAATTACGTAAACCAGACCACTCCCGATTTCCTATAACACTCTTTGGGAAATTTCCCCCAAAAACTACTAAAGTCATTCAGACTTCACAATGAGGGACCCTTAATAACTTCACAACACAGTTGCAAACATTGACTGGCACATGGCTGAAATCTATACGATATTGACGAAATTTTTAATAATTTTCTAAAAAAAACCCAATACCTTATAAAAAGCACTGCCCCAAAAAAACAAACAATGACGCAAAAAGACTGACGTCCCTGGCTAACAAAACCCGCATTCTCAAAACCATAAATACAAAACGCCATATGAAAAACAGTACGAAAAGGGTCACAAACCCGAGACCCAAAAAAAAGTTACTCGTCAAACCAACCAGCCCGATAAGAAGGGGAAAAAAATTGTTTATGAGAAAGATTATCCAACTACGAGGTGATATAAAAAAGACCTGGAAAACCCTTCAGAATTCTAGGGAAAAAAAAGATATCCGAAATAGCGAAATAAATTAGCAAAATCAGATGAACCCCCAAATCCCACCCAAAAGAAACAGCAAAAAAGACTCAATGATTTCTTCTCCACTATAGGAAAAACCTTTCCCAAAAAAATCCCAAGCTCAGTACCCCCCCCCAATGACACCCCCCGGGAACTACCCCAACACACTGTTCCTAAACTGATAACCCCTACGAATCTCCTTTTTACAAACACTAAAAAAAAAGGGAGGAGATTTAAAAAACCCCTTTCCCCTTTATATCAAAAAAAAAGTGTCACAAGTGCTATCACCCAAACATTGCAACACTCTTTAAAAATCCATTGAATCCCCCACCTTCCCCGTACTCAAAATGCAAGGGTCACCCCCATCCACAAAGGAGGAAAAAAACGAGTTGAATAACTATAGGCCCCAAATCCAACTTACACCCTCTTTTCAAAAATTTTGAAAAATTAATTTAAACGAACTAATTTCCTTATCTCCCAAACTACTCAAACCCCCCCAATTGGATTCGGGCCCAATAAAAATTTCTAATGATGCTATTATACAAGCTAGAAAAAATATATCACTGCAATAAGGAAAAAAAAGTCCCCTGGGGTTTCATTGACTTTCTAAAGCTTTTTGATACAGTTGACCATGATTTTCCATGTAAATTGTCACCTTGGTATAAAAGGGCCTCCCCCAATACCCAAGTCTACTCAGAAAAGAAGCCAATAGGTATGCAAATGGGGCAAAATCCTCTGCCAACCAATTACAGTTGGGGTCCCACAGGGAAGTGTCCTTTGGCCCTCTTCTCTTTCCTATACATAATGACCTACCAAAAGCTTCGCAATTACTCAAACCCCCCTATTTGCAGATGACAACTAGTCTTCCCCCCCGAGCCCAGTCACGTAGCCAATACTGTAAATACCGAATTTTAAAAAAAAATCTACCTGGATGGAAAAATAACAAAATTACACTAAAAATTTACAAAACCTACTTCATTCGTTTGGTAACAGAGCTACAGAGTCCCCCTTACATAATATAAAAGGAAACCTTACAAAGCTAACGAGGGGAAAATTCTTGGAATCCCCTTGATAATAGACTCAATTTCAAACATTACAACAAATTTTCTAAGAAAAAATTTCCCAAATGTAGGCATACTATCGAAGTACGGGACATGCTCCCCAGTCAGCCCTCCTGGCCCCTTATCACTCTCTTATTTTCCCCCCTTTTCCTATGGAATTTTTTGCTGGGGCTCAACAACAAGTAACCATCTCAGACCCCTAATTACCCCAAAAAAAGGCCCGCAGTTGAATGATAAAAAATTCTCACTTAGGGAGCACACTCCACCAAAATTCAATAAAATAAAAACCTCCCCACCATACAAAACATCCCTAACTTACTACTGCACCTATTTTTTACATAGAACACTTTAAATTGTATTAACCCTCCCCCTCAAACATTCCTTGCCAAACCAACAGAAACCCAATGACCCTAACACAAGGCAAGTCACTTTTGTGTTCCCGTGTCCATCTCCAAATATGTAAAAAACCAAAGCCTAAAAGGGCCAAAAACTGGAAATTTATTTCCGTAAAATTTAAAAAAACACTCCCGTTTATAAATTTAAGTCTCTTCTCAAAGATCATTCCACCCAAAACCAAAATAAATACTGAAAAACTGAACCCTTTTAAATTGTATATCTTAAAAAGTTTCTCACAAAAATTAAATAAAAAATTTAAAACCCAAAACCAAACTAACTTTATTATTTTTTAAAACCACCTAACAGAATACTCCATTCTTTCTGAATGTAAACAATGCATACAACCATAGCCTTCTTTGTAATACTACTTGTGCTTTATAGTAACCTGTTTACATTAATGTTTTATCCCGATTTCTCATTGTTAGTTAATCTTAAGTTTAAATTTTAAGCCAGCCCGAATGTTGAATTTAAAAGTGGCTTTGGCATACTGCTTTCCCTTATTTGTTGTACTCTGTATGTGTGCTAAATTTTTTTAAATAATAAATAAATAAATAAATAAATTTGGCGTGTTTCATTCTGTTATTTAGATTTTTCAAAATCTCTTCCCTTATTAGCATAATTTTAAAATTTTAAATTTTGTAGTTAGATTTAAATTTGGGATATTGGCTTTTTGGGAGTGACGTCTAAAATGTCATATTTGATCCTTTTGGGCCCTGTGAGCTTTTTGGGAGTTTAGCGGGTAATTTTTGTGAAGAGATTAAGTTACAGGGAAATTGGTTAGTTGATTTGAGTGCTGGGGTGTGAAGTACATGCCTGCACTTTAAAGGTGGGGTTTAAAATTTGGGTATTGGGGGACATCTAAACTGTCGTATCTAGGCCCCCTTTGAAAAAGAAAAGGGATTATGGGGGGGGAATATGGTAAAAGTGTTTCTTTTTAGGTCCCCTTTCCCTTTGGTGGGAGATGGCCAGTGGTTGAAAAAAAATTTGGGAAAATTTCATTTTACCCAGTTACATATTTTACAGGGTGAATGGAAAATTTTTACTTAACCCCTGAAATGTCCAAAAAATTTACGTTCAATGCGAGTGCTCCAAAAGTAGATTACGTTTTTTTAATTTTTCACAATTAACAAAACAAAAAAGAAAAACAAAATTTTTTTTCACGTTTTTAAAAGTAAAAAAAAAAAATTTCGTTTTTTTTCTACTTTCAAAAGTTGAAAAAATAGTTCATTTGGCAGGTTTAAGGGTTTTTAAATGCATTTAAAGTTAATTTTTTTTTTTTAGCTGAACTACATGCTTACCTGGGCACCAGTGCCACCTGTGAAGGCCCTTGCTTACTTCTCACGGCAGTACTCGCCACACCCATTGACAGCCCAATATGCTGTGAGGGTCCTTTCAAGCTATCCCCCAGACACCCTTTTGTTCTACATTCCTCAGTTAACCCAAGCACTTCGATATGATTCCGTAAGTTTGAGTAATATACAAATTACTAATTGTATTCCTGTTCCTTCTATGAGTTGATATCAGATTTACATTTTTTGCATATTAAGCACACTAAGCTTAATATGAGGCTCATAATATTAATTACAAATGTATTAACCCGTTCAGGGTTGGTGCCGTACTAGTACGGCTTGCATGCCAGGGTTGGTGCCATACTAGTACACATAAATTCTAGCGCCTTTAAATCTAGCGAGAGAAAGCTGGTAGGCCTACATATGAAAGCATAGGTCTATGTGGTCAGTGTGCAAAGTATAAAAAAAATCCTACAGCACACAGTGCATAATGAGAAAAAATTAACTCCGACCGTGTTTTTGGTTTAAAACGGCAATTTTGCAGTGTATTTTCATTTTCGTGTGGTATTTATGGCTGTATTCTAGTTTTCCTGGTCTCAGTTTTATAGAATGGTAGACATATTACAGAAATTTAGATGATTTTGATTGGTTTCACAATGAAAAGTGCCTTGATACTGAGCTCAAAGTAGCAGAAATGTTCGATTTTTGCCAAAGTTCAAAAGTAAACTAGTCATGCCACGTGTCCAATACACATCAACTGGTGAGTCTAATATTCTTTCACAAGTGCGCTGATATTATTTATACCATTTCTACACTAATGCAGTAGTCTGCATAACAGCAATTCTTCTATTTTTTTGTGAGAATAAAAATTCAAAGCGGAAACAAAAGAAATGTAAGAGGGGCCTGGGGACATGAATAATGAGCAGAGAAAATGTTATTTTAGTGCCAGGAATGTCTGTTTTGTTTTATTCTGGACCCTATTTGGAAATTGGCATCTTATGAAATTTGTGTGAAATTGGCAAAATTGCCATTTCTACCACTTTATTGGATACTTGAAATTAGTAAATGGGTGGTTTCTTGTACTCATTCGATAGAAAAACTTGGAGTTCTAGGGAAATAGGTTATGATTTTTTGTCGATTGGTACATTGGAATTGGCCGAAAATAGGGCTCAAAGTGGGCGAAATCGCTGATGCATAAACATCGTCAAGACCGCTAAACTTTGCAAGAGCAAAAACTTCTATAAGTTTTCCATCAAATTTCATGCTTTTGGTGTCATTGTGATTGGAAAAAGATTATCATTCATAAGATTTTTTTTTTTTTTTTTTTTTTTTTCTTCAAAAAAATTTCAACCTGAGAACAAGTGTAGGAGAGGGCCTCTTGACCCTGAAAGGGTTAATAATCACATTGGTCAGTTCTTTAATTGGGAAGGTTTGAGTCATAATGCATTGTTCCATTCATTAGTGAAAGTTTTATATACAGTGGAACTCTAGATTTTGTACGCTCTGAATATCTTACGTTTCGGATTTAGACCACTTTTTATGGGAGAAAATTTTGGTTCGAATTTCATACCTCCACCCAGAAATCGACGATCAGATGCATTCCGCCTGCCCGGGAAGCCGCCACTCATGCGTACGTGTCTCAGTCTGGCTCAGTCACTGGTCAAGTGAGCATTACTTTTCACGTTCATCTGAAGCATTTTGTAATAATCCATTGTTTTTTGTGCTTAACTATTGAGTGCAACTGCAAAATAAGCCACCATGGGTCCAAAGAAAGTTCCTAGTGCCAGCCCTTTGGTAAAGAAGGTGAGAAACACGATAAAATTCAAGAAAGAGATTGTAGAAAAAATATGAAAGTGGCATACGTTTAGCCGAGCTTGCCAGGTTATATGGGAAGTCGAAATCAACAATCTGTTCAATCCTGGCAAAGAAAGTAGAAATAAAGGAAGCTAAAGTTGCAAAAGGAGTAAATGTGCCAGCAAAACAGACATCACAAACAATTGAAGATGTGGAGAAGCTGTTGTTGGTGTGGATCAATGAGAAACAGTTAGCGAAGATAGTGTTGTCAAGTCGATCATTTGCTAAAAGGCAAGTCAGTTGCATGCAGATCTCGTAAAGAAAATGCCTGGAACTAGTGCTGCTGTTAGTTAATTTAGGCCAGTAGAGGTTGGTTCAACAGATACAAGAAGTGTAGTGGCATACACATGGGAAAGGGAAAGGGGGAGTCCAATTTTAAAGACAAACGTGCTCCGAAAATTCATTAAAGGGAATTCGGGGAGATGTAAAAGGTAAAGGATTGGTCCCCCCAAAAATTGCCCAAATTGTGGAAACAAGCCTCTTTTGGAAAAACCCTTTGCCAAAGAGGACCTAAAATCATGCCAGGAGGAAAAGGCACTCCCAGGCACAACCCCAACCTTTTTTTTGCCCAAATTGCTGGGGGGGATTTAAAAATTTGTACCTTTATGGTGAAATCACCTGAAAATCCCTGGAATTCAAAAAAAACGGGTAAATTAAAAATTTAAATTGTGTGTGATGTGGAAACTAAAATAAGACATGGGCCCACGAGGTAAATTTTCATTGCTGGATCCATGAAGTGTTTGGCCCGAGGGGTTAAAAAAAACCCCTGGGAAAAACTTCCCCACCCCAAATCCCTCCTGGTACGGGAAATGCCCTGCTCTTTCCTCCGATTTGGGAAAGCCCAAATTGTTTAGGGACTTAAGTTTTAAAACAGTGAAGTTTTTTGGGCCCCCCTTAACACAATCCTCTCTCCAGGCCATGGCCCAGGGGGTCATTTCTAATTTAAAAAAAATTTTGAAACAAAAAGCAGTTTTTTCAATCCCTTTTTCCCCTGAATTAAACCCTAAAGAAGTTCGGGAGGAAAATAAACCTTAAAGGTACCTTCCCCTTGCATTCCTAATTAAGGGTAAGCCTTTGCAAGGGGCCCTTCCCGGAAAATTTAAACTTGCTTTGGAAAAAATTTGGGTTCCCAAAAATGTTCCCCTAACAAGGATTTTAAAGGGGTTTTGAGGCTTAACCTAAAACCCCTACACCAATGTGGAATCTTTTGTGTTTTGGGAGAATCCATGGGGGTTGGAGGTGAGGGCCCCTGGATGGGGAAAAATTTTGGTTGAGGACCCAGGGAAGAGCTAACCATTTGAAGAGCGCAAAACCTTAAACCCGGGAAACAGCAACAACCGAAACCTGGGGAAAATTTGCTCAGAGGAGGGGGAAGAGAGAGAGAGAGGGGGGGGGGGGGGAAGGGTTTCCCCTATTTCATTGTTTAAAGGGACATTTGGGAAAAGTGAAAAATATTCCCCTGACCAAGCTGATACAACCCGTATCTGAAAACTTGTTCTTTTGAAAATACGTTGCCCCCTTTTAGGAAAATTTCTTAAAGAATGCCAGAAAGAGACCCTTCGGGTTTAAAAATTTTTTTTTGTGAACAGGGGTCCATTTGCCAAAAAAAAAAAAAAAGGGGAAAAGTAACCCCAGATAGGGGTTTTATACCTGAAAATCCCCTTTTGGAGGGGGTTTCCCCTTTCCAAAAAAATAAGCTCTCCTCTCCCCTTTCCTCCTCGCCTTTTTCCCTCCCCAACAAGAGTTTCAATAAAGGGAATAAAAATGTTTAAATTTTCATTTTCCATTTTATTTGTGCTTTTTAAATTTATTTCTCATTTTTTTTTCTGTATGTAAAAACTATACTTAACTTTAAAAAAATTTTTTTTTGTTAATATTTTTTGGGGGGTTTGGAAACGGATTAATTGTATTTACATTTTCTTTATTTCTTAAAGGGGAAAAAATTACTTTTTGGGTTTTCATACGTTTTTGGATTTAGGGCCGACCTTCTGCAATGGATTTAAGGGATTTAAAAACTGGAGTTTCACTGGGATTTGCTCCATTTCACTTTTAATTTTAAATTTTTTGTAATTTTTTATTTTCCTGGAAAAACATACAGATCCTTTGGGAAAACAAGTCATCTAATTTTTTAAAAATATTTATTAGCATCCCTTTGGGTTTTTGTCAAATTTTTTGGTATTTTAAAATTCAGAAAACTTTTCTATTTTTCTAGACATTGGTCATTTGCTGCCCAAGGGTTGGATGAAACCCCCAGGGAAAGGGAAAAACAGCAGGGCCCCCCCTTATTTCGGGGAGGTTAGGTTCCAGGCTTTCCGCCGTTTTAAAAAGGAAACCCGCCCTAAAGTGGGAAAACCCTTTTTTTTTTTACTTTTTAAATGCTTTCAAACACAATAACAGTTTACACTAACATAAATTTTAAGTTTAAACAATAGAAACCCGGGATCAAAAAACTAAAAAACAAAAAACAAGTGCACTATTTACTTACCCTTAAAAAATTAATAGTCTTTATCAGGGGACAAGTTTTATTTTTTTGTAAGAAAAAAATTAGTATGTAAGGGGAATCAGCCAGGTACCTTACCCGGCCCCCCCAAACCCCCACATTCTATTCTATGATATTTAAGCATCCCAGAGCGATAAAATAATAGGGTGAGATGAGTAGTATTTATTGTAAAAATCAAGTGTGGTATGTATGGTAGTTCAGCCGGCTACCATACCAGGCCAACCCACCCACACATATATTCTATGATATTTAAGCATCCCAGAGCGATAAAATGTATATACATTTTCACTCATTACTTACCTTAAAATATTTGTAGTCTTAATGTAGGGTAAAGGAGTAAGAAAATGAGATAAAAACGAATAAATGAGAGAGAGAAAGAATGGGGTAATGAGAGGGGACAGGCGCAGAGTTATGTAAACAAACCAGCAAAGGTAAGTTTTGTAAACAAAGTGTACACGCTGGTTTGTGTACAAGTTACATTGGGGTACAGGTTGTCTCTACATTGATACGGTAGAATTAATAAAGAGGAACACTCCCATTCTCATGTAACACCATTTTGAGAAGAAATGAAGCTCTGAGTGAAGGCAATGGAAATAAGTCACACTGACTTTTTTGGGTTATCCTAGGTTCTCTACACATATGTTGTTATGTATGATAATCTATGTAACTGTATTTGTGTATACCTGAATAAACTTACATACATACAAAAGGAATAATTTTCTACAGTTACCCCCAGTAACACATTTTCTCTTATGTTAGATTAGAGAAAATGTTATTCTTGCCGTCACTTGTACAAGTTATCTGGCTCCCACATCTTATATTTATGTTTATTTATTTCATTGTGGGGTGTATTTATCATCTTTTTATGTTATGTATCGTGTCCCCTCAAGGAAGGTTCCTTGATGTTGGTGAGGGGCTCTTGATTTAGGGAATTGGATCTGTACTCCAGTTCCCCGAATTAAGCCTGAATGCCTTCCACCCCCCCCCCCCAGGCGCTGTATAATCCTCCGGGTTTAGCGCTTCCCCCTTGATTATAATAATAATAATAGTATCGTGTTTATTATATAATTTTGAAAAAATATCATGGATGGATTAATGAAAATGTGTATATTAACGTAATATACGACATTTAATGAGACTCGGTGAGTATTGTTTTATTATTATTATCATTTCTAATATGGCGTCACTTGTGCAAGTCGTCTGCTACCACATCTCACATTTATGTTATTTATTCTACTGTGGGGGTGTATTTATCTTATTTATGTGTTATGTATCATGTTTATTATATAATTTTGAAAAAAAACCATAGATGGATTAATGAAAATGTGTATATTAACGTAATATATGACATTTTAAATGACTCGATGATTATTATCATTAATAATATGACGTCTGGAGACATAAGACACTTACCGATTTTAATGTGTAACCTGCATGCCAGCACAGTATGTAAGTTTATTTAAGTACAGGTATAACATAAGTATAATTATCAGAGCATATATAAAATATGAAATAACTTTTAAAAACATTTGAAATTTTGGAGTTTCCAGACAAAATGGAGAGACTTAGTGCTTACTGAGCTCACGAAGAATGTAAACAAAACAGGGTGGGGTGCGGTGACCGTATTAGAAAGTCAGGTGGGGGAGCCGTATAGCGAGTTTTGGTCATAATTTGAAATGACCGTATTAGCGGAACGCCGTAAAGTGAAACGCCGTAAAGCGGGGCCCTACTGTACATGCACCATCTCTCATTTTCCTATCTGTGTTTCCAAACAATTCATAAATATCAGATAACCCTTAGAATGGCAGCAGCCTCCACTCTTATGTACAGTTTTCTGTATTTAGCACATATATATTTTCTTAGATGGGTTATGTTGCTGAATTGATCAAGTTAGCAGCAAAAAAATCACAACTCCTCCTCCACCAGCTGATTTGGAATATGGAAACTAATAAGTATAGAGATGAAGAGGGTCATGAGAAAGATGGTAAGCTATTATGTTTTATGGTAATTTCATTTTTGCCTTTTGTGTGAGCTATTTTGCAGATTGAAGGTTGTCATATGCATTTTGCATATTTGACCTTGTTTTTGGTATATTCTGCCTTTTCATTTTTTTTTTTTTCAACAAGTCGGCCATCTCCCACCAAGGCAGGGTGACCCAAAAAGAAAAATACTTTCATCATCATTCAACACTTTCACCTCACTTATACATAATCACTGTTTTTGCAGAGGCACCCAGATACAACAGTTTAGAAGCATATATAAGATACATAACATATCCCTCTAAACTGCCAATATCCCAAACCCCTACTTTAAAGTGCAGGCATTATACTTCCATTTCCAATACTACTGAAGTCTGGCTATATACAAATAACCAGTTTTTCCTGAATCCCTTCACTGAATATTACCTTGCTCACACTCCAACAGCTCGTCAGGTCCCAAAAACTGTTCATCTCCATTCGCTAATATCTCACATGCTCACACATGCTTGCTGAAAGTCCAAGCCCCTTGCCCACAAAACCTCCTTTACCCCTCCCTCCAACCTTTTCTTGGACGACCCCTACACCGCCTTCCTTCCCGTACAGATTTATATGCTCTCCATGTCATTCTGCTTTGATCCATTTTCTCTAAATGACCAAACCACCTCAACAACCCCTCTTCAGCCCTCTGACTAATGCTTTTATTAACTCCACACCTTCTCCTAATTTCCACACTCCGAATTTTCTGCATAATATTTACACCACACATTGCCCTTAAACAGGACATCTCCACTGCCTCCAACTGCCTCCTCGCTGCTGCATTCACAACCCAAGCTTCACATCCATATAAGAGTGTTGGTACTACTATACTTTCATACATTCCCTTCTTTGCCTCCATAGATAACATTTTTTGGTCTCCACATATACCTCAACGCACCACTCACCTTTTTTCCTTCATCAATTTTAGATTAACCTCATCCTTCATAAATCCATCCCCTGGCACGTCAACTCCCAAGTACCTGAAAACATTCACTTCTTCAATACTACTCCTCCCCAATTTGATATCCAATTCTTCTTTATCCAAATCATTTGATACCCTCATCACCTTACCTTTTTCTATGTTCACTTTCAACTTTCTACCTTTACACACACTCCCAAACTCATCCACTAACCTTTTCAATTTTTCTTTAGAATTTCCCATAAGCACAGTATCATCAGCAAAAAAGCAACTGTGGTCAATTCTCATTTTGTATTTAATTCCCCTTAATTTAATCCCACCCCTCTACTGAACACTCTAGCATTTACTTCTTTTACAACCCTATCTATAAATATATTAAACAACCATGGTGACATTACACATCCCTGTCTAAGACCTACTTTTACTGGGAAGTAGTCTCCCTCTCTTCTACACACCCTAACCTGACCCTCCACTATCCTCATAAAAACTCTTTACAGCATTTAGTAACTTACCACCTATTCCATATACACCTAACCATCCGACTTACGACCTGCTCGACTTACGACCACTCAACTTACGACCGTGTTTTTTATGCCAAATTTCTGGGAAATAAACAACTATTTGTGTTGTACACAGTGTTTATCCTAAACTTACAGTATAAAATACAGTACTAACAACATAAAAGTAAAGTAAAACATGAAATACCAAAATAAAACAATAAAATAAAGTCATTACAAAAATGTTTTGTTGATATTCAGTAGTAAAATTCGACTTACGATCATTTCGACTTACGACCGGTTTCTCGGAACCGAACTCGGTCGTAAGTCGGATGGTAGGTGTACTTGCCATATTGCTCCCCTATCCACTCTATCATATGCCTTTTCTAAATCCATAAATGCAATAAAAACTTCCCTACCTTTATCTAAATACTGTTCACATATATGTACTTCAGTGTAAACACTTGATCTACACATCCCCTACCCACTCTGAAACCTCCTTGCTCATCCGCAATCCTACATTCTGTCTTACCTCTAATTCTTTCAATTATAACCCTATGGTACATCTTTTCCTGGTACACTCAGTAAACTTATTTCCTCCATAATTTTTACAATCTCTTTTGTCCCCCTTCCCTTTATATAAAGGGACTGTATATGCTCTCTGCCAATCCTATGTACCATCCCTCTTTCATACATTTATTAAACAAAAATACCAAACCACTCCAACACTCCATCCCCCCCTGCTTTTAACATTTCTGTCATGAATCCATCAGTTCCAGCTGCTTTACCCCTTTCATTCTACGTAATGCCTCACGCACCTCTCCCACACTCGCATCCTGTTCTTCTTCACTCCTAAAAGATGGTATACCTCCCTGGCCAGTGCATGAAATTACCGCTTCCCTTTCTACGTCGACATTTAAAAGTTCCTGAAAATATTCTCACCATTTACCCAAAACCTCCATCTCCCCATCTTCTAGCTCACTTACTCGGTTTTTAACTAACAAATCCATTTGTTCTCTAGGCTTTCTTAACTTGTTTAACTCACTCCAAAATTTTTTCTTATTTTCATTAAATTTTCTTGACAGTGCCTCTCCCTCTCTATCATCTGCTCTCCTCTTGCACCTCACCACACACTTCACCTTTCTTTTACTCTCCATATACTCTACTCTTCTTATAACACTTGTGCTTTGTAAAAACCTCTCATAAGCTAACTTTTTCTCTTTTATCACACACTTTACTTCTTACTTCATCATTCCGCCAATCACTCCTCTTTCCTCCTGCACCCACCCTCCTATAACCACAAACTTACTCATACTTGCACCAGCCCACCTTTCTGCCATAGTTGCTCATATCTCACCCGAACTTCCTCCTCCCTTAGTTTATACACTTTCACCTCCCTCTTGCTTGTTGTTGCCATTTTCCTCTTTTCTTGTCTACCTCTTACTTTAACTGTAGCTACAACTAAATAATGATCCAATAATCATTGCCCCCTATAAATGGGGTACATCCTGGACCCTCCCCATAACCCTTTATCCCAATACATAACTAAAAACCTCTTTCATTATGCAATCAACCTTGTATTTTTTATTCACCCTTTTTTATAAAATATGTATACTTTTCCCAAAACCTCTTTTACACTATCATTAAACCCTTGGGGTCCGCCCCCAGATCTACGGCTTCACGTTAGTGTCCAAACCATGATCACGCCAAAACCCCTGCGCCATCAAATTTAGGTAAAAGCACTCATAGGCCTACGTGAGGAAGGGGTCGCGTGGTGGGTGCGCCCTAAAAAAAAATTTAGGCACCCGCAACATTGTGGAACCCGGCTCATTACCCTTGTTCACCATGCCTCGTCGCAAAGGCAGTCTCCCCCACAAAATTTGGGCTCTGCTCTTCCTATAGTATTTTCTGACACGATGGAATGGAAATGAAGAGAATTCTTTGGCTTTGACAGTTAGTGACCGAAAGGATCCCCGGATACGATAATGGGCAAAAAACCCTGCGATCCCAAACCCTTTACCTCTGGTGGGGGGCACTCCTCAGTCAGGGCCCCAGTTGTACCCCAAAGAAGAGAAAACTTATTTTCCTTGGCCAGGCCTCGATTCATAAAGAGAGATATGTGGGATTGTGATTTTTATGCTCTTGCGACTTCGAGTAGGATAGGAGGAAACATATTTTACCCGTAACGCGGTAAAGTACTCCGCCCATGCGCTCGGGTAGTGTACCCCACGTGCCCAGGGGAGGGGTACATCCCGGAGTACACCCTTTGGGCCCCACACCAGGGGTTTGATAGGAAGTGGGATGAGTGGCTACACTTTGGGTGGATAGCCACAGGCATCAAAGATGGTGGTAGTGGTGGGTAGTGGCACTGCCAGCTGACTCACCACCCAGGCTGGGGGCCCATGTGCTGACTCCCAATTCAAGGACAAAGCGGACGTCAGCCACCACCCCCACAACCACAACAATCCACAACCAGCCTATGATGTCCAGTACCACCAGCAAAAATGATCTGGGAGGCACAAAATCCCAATTTTGTTCCCAAGCCTCACCATTTGATGATCTCAAAGTGGAATTCTACCTACTTCTCCCTTTGGGAAACCCCGGCCAATGAACTGGAAATTTTTTGAATATTTTTTGACCCGCCATTGGGAAAAACTATTGTCAGAGAAAGTAATAAGTATTTTCAGTACACCATGGCAAATACAGTGATATCACCACAGTCAAGACTACACCGTGGAAAGAGACGACTGTTGCAGAAATGTATTTGCTTTTTGCAACAATAATGCTTGTGCCTCATGTCTATAAGCATAATATAAAAGCCTACTGGTCCACAGATCGGCTAATTTCTACCCCGGTCTCAGTGAAATCATCCCAGTGAACAGGTTTATCTTACTTGTTACGTATGTTCACTTCTCTGACAAAACCAGGCCTGACAGAAGTGACAGGTTATACAAGATTAGAAATGTTTTATGTATCTCAAACAAAGTTCAGCATATACTTTTATCCATTCAAGAATCTTGTAATTGAGAGTCTTTGATTTTGTTCAAAGGTAGGCTGTCATTCAAGCAGTATATACTGAGCTATAGGAAATGCTTTGGTATAAAACTGTTTGTACTCTGTGACTGTGACAGTGGCCTGGTATTGGATATTGTTGTATACACGGGAAGTAAACATTGAAGATACCAGATATTATTGAGTATCTCAGGTGACGTAGTGAGAAGCTGATGGCACCTTATCTTGGTAAGGGCATACATTATATACCGATAACTGGTACACAAGCCCATTACTCAGTGATTTCTTGCGAGTAAACAAGACAGATGTGTGTGGCACAGTGTGTTCTAATCGTAAACATATGCACAGGCTCAATGCAGGTGCTCGTGGTGATGACATGCAGGTTTACTGCCATGACATCATGGAATTACGGTGGCATGACGAACGGGATGTCACATTGTTGACAGCCATTCACCGTAATGAAATGCAAGATAGTGGCAAAGTTGATCGAGTGACTAGTGAACGTATCGAAAACCAGTGACAGTGATTGATTATACACAAAACATGCGCTGGTTGACAAATGTGACATGCAGATTGGTTTTGTTTATCGTGTTCGTAAAAGTT